CCAGAAATTGATTAAGATTTAAGTGATACTCCGAAACCAGACATTTTCCCATTACACCACTTGTTTTTATTATATATTTATATATACTGGTTATTCCCATTTCCTATCATTTCGCTTGACTTATTATATGGATAGCCTGTAAATTGTATCATTTCAATTGAATCAATTATGTGAACACTCTCTGAAATGTTTTGTTTTGCTGGACTTGTTATATAGAAGTTATTTATGTTGTATAGTTGTACTTCATTGTTATAGGAACACCTTCTACATTCTACTGATTTAATTGATTAGTTATAAGCACAAACCCTGCATTATAACGATTTAATTGACGTGTTGTGTGGACATTCTTTAAATTTCGTCGTTCCACTTAAACTGTTATATATAAGCAGTTCCTACAGTCCAATATTTAACTTGCATTGTTGTGTACACTTTATTTATATTCTACCATTTCAATTATTTTGTTGTATAAACAGTCTTTGTATTTTGTCCTTTCACTTGGCTCGTTAATTCAACTGACCCTTGTATTGTACCGATTCATACTTGGCTTGTTATAACGAAAGCCTCGAGACTGCATCTTCCATACAAATTGTTATGTAGACAGTCTATAAACTTTGTTATTTAATTGATTCATCATATAAATAGCTTCTAAACTGTATCGATTCGCTTGATCCGTTATGTCAACATCCGTTAAGTCAGAAGACTTATAACTCAAGAAACTGTGTTGGGCTTGACAATAATTAAACATCATCAACAATTCTATGATTTTTATCATTTCACTTAAAATGTTATATTAACAGAATACACTTTATTCATGCATTTATTTCTCTATATAAAGAGTTTCTACGTTCTATCCTTGCAGTTATTTCTCTATATGAAGAGTCTATCGTTGCATTTATTTCTTTATATGATGAGTCTCTACGTTCTGTCATTGCATTTATTTCTTTATATGAAGAGTCTCTAAATCCTGTCATTGTATTTATTTCTTTATATGAAGAGTCTCTACGTT